TTGTTAAGCCTAAAAAACCACATCAGACCACAGCAAGTTAGCGCTTTGTAGAGAAACTAATAAACAGCTTTGAGCCCGCCAAGAACAGTGCAAGTGTGAAGAGCTATGGACCTGAGAACTTGTAGTAGCGGACATTGTAGAGGTTGTTGGGTCCTTGTGAAACTGGACCTTGGCGTTGCTGTTGCCAAACTGCTTGATCAAGAAGCACTTGCTCTTCTTCACAAGCTCCCAGACCAGAGACCTTGGAACGGTAGTGATTTCTCTGCTCTCACCTCTCTCTCGGATGTGCACAGGAGCCCACCCAACGCCATGGCACCCGCAGGAAGCCGCGCCGCCGGGCCTCCACCACATCGCCCCTGCCTCGTTCTCGCCCGATCGGATCACCGCCATCGCGCCAAGTCCGTCGCCAGCCGCCGCCTTTGCCTCTGCTTCGTGCCCCCATGCTCGCTGACTCCTGCCGTGCTGCTCTGCTTCGCTCGCGTCGCCCCGGCCCCCTTCTGCTCCGTCCACGCGAGGTGAACGAGCGCACGAGCAGCGCCCGGTCCAACCAAGAGGAGGACGAGCAGGGACAAGGTGCGTGAGGGGAAGCTTCGGTGGCTGGGTTTGCCGGCCGGGTGGAGGAGACGAAGGCGGTTCACGCGCTCAGCAGCAGAGGAGGTAGAGTTACCCGATGCCATGCCGCGCCCGCCAACCGTCGTGCTCCGAGCTCCGGCCGCCTTCCTTGGAGATCCACTGTCTGAGCGCCACTTCCCACCGGATCCGGCGAGATTCGACAGGTCCTTGATGACCGCGCCACCGCAGGCCCTTGCAAGGCCGCCGCCGGTTTAGCCTCTCCTCCACGCCTCTCCTCGCAATTATGGAGGGGTGCGGCCGCGGCGGCGAGATGGCGGAGGTGTGGCGGCGGCGGCGACGGCGCGAGGATGGCGTGGCTTGGGCACGGGTGAGGGATCGAGGAGGCAGATGCGTACGGGAGGCCTCTGCGTACGGGTGTTTTGTTTTTTTGTTTTCCAGCGAACCGTTTTTTCTTTTGTGTATGGATAGACTGCGGGTTAACTCCTAAAAAGCACAGGGACCTTTGTTTAAAAACGCCGCGACGGTGAATCCGGAGACCCAATCCGTGCTTTATTCCCGTGCGTTGCAACGGGAGCGAAAAAATCACATTTCATACACACTCTCGAGACATCAGTAAATCTCTTGAAATCGTGAACGATGTCACATGAAAAACAAAATGATAAGTGATGTTGCGCAAAAACATAAAGACGTGATGATTTTTAAAGTGTATTCAAGGTGTTTCCAATTTAGACAATATAAATATCTATCCAGTTGCAAGTATCTCTTTACGCATTTGTTGTCGTTCCTTCTCGGTGGTGCCCAACAAATATTTGCATTATGATGAAAATAACATTTGCAAAAGAGCATTATTTTTGCCTCCTTGATATATGTGTTTTTTGCAATCCAAGTCAAGTATTAATTTGGTCGCAAACATGTTAGACAACTCCATCGAAAACAATCAATTTGCAAGGGAATGCATACCAAATGTTCAAGTTTGCATATCAACATCGATATTCTCAAGAAAAAAATTATGGAAACAATTTAAAACAATATGAAAATTAAAGTCAAGCCATTGGTTTACGTAAAGCTTGTATCAGGAACATTGTACATTTTTCCTACATCAGAAACATTTTTATATACACGCTTAATACTTTCCAATTTCATGGTTAACATTTTCCAAAACCTATTTATTTTTTATGTCTACTTATTTTATACACATTCTACTTTTTTGTATACATCAAGAACATTTTTTACGTACACGTTTAACAACATGGTACATGATAATATTTTTGAAAACTTATAATTTTTATGTCTACTTTGTTCCATACACATTGTATATGTTTTTGTATACATTTTTTTATATATACATCAGAAACATTTTTTCCATGCACATTTAATTTTTTTAATGCACGATTAACATTTACTAAGAATGAAAAATATATTATTATTTTTCTATACACACTGTACTTGTTTGTATATAATGAAAACATTTTTTCTATACAAGCTTCACATTTGTTTAATGCATGATTAACATTCTTTCAAAGTCCGCATATAAGTGATTTTTATAATTAAAATATTTATAGTATTTCGAAATAAAGCCAAAAGAAGAAAATACAAAGCGAATGTAATAGAAGTGAAAAAGAAAGAAAAAAAGTGTTGTAGGCCGCGTTGGGCTGGCCCAATCAGGCATCTTATCTAATAGAGAAAAGAGGAGCAAAAAGTGGAGATTGTGGGGTCGAACCTGGGTCTCCTAGGTGGGAGCGCGAGGGTCTAGCCAATCGGCCTGGCCATGCAGTAGTGATTTGCTAGTGGGTTGGCTCCTTATTGTATCAAAACAAACGGCCGACTTAAAGAAAAAAAACGAATCGTTTTTCCAACTTACCGGTGGCATAGGTGGGTAATTCATGCGAACTCCAGGGGCAAATTGTGCGACGGACGACAGAAACCCAACATGTGAATAGTACCACCTCGCCAGATAAATAAAAAAAACTCAAAAAAATCATCTAATCGCGGGACGAAACTAAGAATATCACCTTGCTTTATTAGTAGGTATAGAGGTATAGATATAGATATAGATATAGATATAGATATAGATATAGAGGTGTATAGATATAGATATAGATATAGATATAGATATAGATATAGATATAGATATAGATATAGAGGTATAGAGGTATAGAGGTATAGATAGATATAGATATAGATATAGATTTCATGTACTTTGTCAAATTTATTAATAAAGTCGACCTGTTTACTAAATAAGTTGTTGCATGTGGATTGGTTCCGTATTCAATGTAGGCCCGATTCCAGCCTCAAATATTCAGACCAGACGGTCCAACAGTTTTAGTCTCTAACGCGGGATCCTTACTTTGAGTCAGACGTATCCGAACCAAAATCTCTCAAGTCGACTGCAAATTGAGAGATGGAGTAAGATTTTTAGACATATGATACGTTGGACTCCCAACACCTGAATCAAAACTCCATACCACACGGTTTTCACACTCTCCCACAGTCTTCCCGTTCCTGACCCTCTTCCCCCTCCACCGCCGCCAAATCTAGCTTTAATGTCGCCGCCCCTGCTGCGACTTCGTCCCAGCCGCCCGCCATTGTAATGGACCTCTCTGGTCCAACAAACCATCAACATCTTCGAGGCCCCGGCATCGCCATCGTGCAGGTACGCCGACTCCACGCTGAACACGGTCTTCGTCACCGCAGGAGGGAGAAGGTGGGGCGGTCCGAGCGTGCTCCACACCACACCGTCGTGCCGATGCCACATGGATATGCGTTGCCCTGGCCCACCCAGTATGCATTGCCCTACTATTTTGCGTCCACCCAGTATGGGTCGGCAGCCATGCAGCAGTCTGAAGTTTCAACCTACTCCGGCAGGCCTTGACCGTTCACCGATGACCTCACCAGTTATTGCAACTTCACCGAGTCGTCGCAACCCATCTAGTCACGGATACCATTAGAGAAGCCCTCATCTACGGGTGCCTGGACAGTATTCATTAGGACCACCCACCCAATCTCAATGATGACCGAACATGTGATGATGAATATCATCAACGTAGATCGAGAATTCCGAAGAGTGGAAGATCAATACTCGCAAGTGCAGGATGTGCAGACAAAGAAAAGGAGAGGAGCCTCCTACTTGACGAAAGAGGACGAATTGTTGTGCTTGGCTTGGTTGGGCA